CCCCACCCCAGGGCCTCCCCTGCCCCTGCTGTCCACTCGGCAGACGGTCTCCCCAGTGGGACTCGGCTTCCCAGGGCTCTCAGGCCTCAGAGGGAGAAATTGTGACCCCAAGAATCCAGAGTTCAAAAATGAAAAACAAAAAAACAAAAACAACCCTCAGACTCTTCTAAAAATAGGCTCTTTCAATTAGGTCTCCTCTGAGGCGCCACAGCCTTACTCCACAGAAGATTCGCTCGCTGCTTCCCGCGGCCTCCAAGCCCTGGGCGGAGAGAGCCGAAGCCAGCCGTCTCCCAGAGCGTGTGGTTTCAAAAGAGCATAAAGCAAAATCTGCAAGTTTGAGCAAAACCAGAAAGGAGCACCTTCCATCCTATGGTCAGCAGTCTGCGGGCTGGCGGGAACCGGGTGGGCGTGGGGGGCTGAGTCAGGAGGCAGCTCGTCCACGGGTCTCAAATTTCCTCGAATGTCAGGCTCACTCACCTGGCTGGTGAACATGCGGATGGCCGGGTCTCACCCCAATTTCTGAAGTAGTAGGTCTGGGGTGGCGCCCTATAATTTACATTTCTAACCCATCCTCAGGGGAAGGGCTAGAGGGAGAACCACTGCTCTAGAACAAATAGTTTCATGTTAGTGTGACACCTGCCTCAACTACACACGGTACCTGCAGACAGACACACACACACACACACACACACAGCCTTACAGAGCCCCTGCCTGACCACTGATCCTCAAATAGCCAGACCTGCCTGGCCCAGCCAACTACTGAGGCACCGCTCAGGGGCACAGGACCTGAGAAAGCTGCTCCCATTCAAATCTGAATGAGCCAGTCACTGTGAGGCCCGAGGGCACACCCAAAACCCTTGAAAACCGAAGTCACAGCATTTCCCTTTTTTGAAAGCAGTCACAAGCGATCCCACCCGGCTTCGCCCTTCACACATGGGTAACCCCCAGCTGCAAGATCCGCTTTCTGCCAGGGATGCTTTCAAGTTTCTGAATCAGAAGAAGTAGCTGAAAAAAAAAAAAAAAAAAAAAAAAAAAAAAAGGACAGGCCACTCGAGAGCTACAGCATCCCTGGTGGCAACCCCATCACCCACTGCGGGCAACTCCATTGGCCTCTCACTCACCAAAGTAATCGGCCTTCGGATGAGCATCCATCTCCTGCTCCAGACGCTGGGTGAGGGCTTCTAATTTCAGCTCGGCAGTCGAGGGCCCAAGCTCGAGACCCGGGGTGAGGGTCTGGCAGGGCAGCCTCACTCTGTGGGGGCTGGGGCTCTCTGGGAGCACAGACCCCAGGCCACCCTCAGAAGACCAGCCAGGGGGACCTTCTTTACAAGATAACTCAAGTGGGGTGGACATCACTGGAGGGACACGGCTGACGGGGCTGAGCTTGGGACCAGTGCCAGGGTCTGTGCAGCCAGGCTTGGGACCCAGCCCAGGGGCGGCATCCAGCTGCAAACTGTCCATGTTGGCTGGCAAAGATGATGGCCCAGAACTAGAAAGGTAGGATTTGGGCCCATCCTGGAACCAGGACTGAGGGTGCGCATTTGGTTTGGGCATCGTGCCTGAAACCTCACTCCGTGCCCCCGAGTTTGTTCTTGGAAGAGCTCCTTGACTGGGGCAGCTCCCTGAAAAAGGGGTTCTGGGCTGAGTGGGCCCCAGGAGGGCCCCGTTCTCCAGGCCTGGGGAGGGAAGGCCAGGGCGTGCCCACTGGGAGGAGGCAGTGGTCCAAAGACCCGCTGGCTTCTCGCTGCTGCGGCCACCACCACCATCCTGGCCGCTCTCAAACGACCGGCTGGAGCTTGGGGAGAGCTGCGGCTGGTACAGGTAAGGGTCCCTGGCGCGTGTGGGTGGTGATGGGTCACCGCCTGGGGCGCCAGGCCACCCAGTCCCTACACCCAGCCTGATGCCGGGAGGCACTCCTGGTTCTTCACCCCACTTCGGGCTTGCCAAGGAGAGGTTGTCATAATAGTCTCCATGGGTGAGGCAGGAAGGGTCCTCACAGGGGCTCAGCCCGTGGACGGCGGACATCTCGGAACTGGCCGGGCTCTCCTTGGAACCACAGTCCTGGCTGCCAGGCCTGGTGTGGCCATACGGCCTGGCCTTCTGCTCCTGGGCTGGGTACAAGGGCTGCCCAGCAGCGACGGCAGTGGCTGTCCCAGGAGCTACTGTCGAGGCAGCCAGAGGGGGCTTGGCAGCGCCGTCCATGGTCAGCCTACTGCCCGCACCAGCTTCCCGATGGGCCTGCGGGCCCAGGGGGCCCCCGCCGTTGGCAGGCCCTCGGCCAGCCCGGGGCAGGGTCTCCTCCTGCAGGAGCTGCTGCTGCTGCTGCTGAAGGTGGATCTTGGCCATCTTGGTGGCAAACACCCGGCGTGTCGGCCCCCGCCGTTGACAGGCCCTCGGCCAGCCCGGGGCAGGGTCTCCTCCTGCAGGAGCTGCTGCTGCTGCTGCTGAAGGTGGATCTTGGCCATCTTGGTGGCAAACACCCGGCGTGTCTCCTCAAACTCCGGGTTGTTGCCTGCACCCTTGTCCACTCGGAAGAGTCCATCCTTGGAAGCCTCATACATGTTCAGGTCCTCGATGAATTTACTGGCCTCCAGGCCCAGGTCCTGGTACTTGTCCATGTTGCTGAGGGGTGTGGAGGCCTAGGCCAGGCACCGGGTAGTGTGTGTGTGTGTGTGTGTGTGTGTGTGTGTGTGTGTGTGTGTGTGTGTTTGAGGGGGGCGGCCAAGAACGGGGGGGCTCAAGTCCAGCCCAGAACAAGTAACACCCTCCACCTGCCCAAAGTCAGAGTCATGACCCCGGGCCTTAGAGTCCAGCCCCAGTCGAGGCCTCAAGGCCAGATGCACCAAGTTCTCCTGCAACTTCTTTTCCCCTCGGAAGTGTCCACGTGGGGGCAGATGGTGGCGCTTCCCTGTCCCAGCTTACTCTGCGTTTTCTCTTTTTCAAATCATAAAAGGAAAAAGAAGAGGAAAACAAAAAAAAGTCACATCCTCTTTAACCAAACTCGGAAACGCACAAGGCAGCAGGCGCGGAAGGGTCCGGGCACCAAGTTCTCCTGCAACTTCTTTTCCCCTCGGAAGTGTCCACGTGGGGGCAGATGGTGGCGCTTCCCTGTCCCAGCTTACTCTGCGTTTTCTCTTTTTCAAATCATAAAAGGAAAAAGAAGAGGAAAACAAAAAAAAGTCACATCCTCTTTAACCAAACTCGGAAACGCACAAGGCAGCAGGCGCGGAAGGGTCCGGGGTGCAGCGGATTTACCCAGAGCGGAGAGGCCG